CAAAAGTCTATATCGGCTTTCGAGCCGTGGTGTCTTACGGGACAGAGCACTCGTCCCCCAATGAGGTGAGCCGGTTTCGAATCCCAGCAATGGCTGGCTGATTTGAATTCCACACCCATCTGGCACCGACCACAGTGAGGACGTAAAATATCCTCAGTGGTAGACGGATCATGGATTAGAGTCCTCTTGTAGTCAAGTTAACAGTAGGAGGTTTTGTGATTTTCCTCTCCATGCAATGCAAATGCAGGTTAGTTTCATCAAAAAGTCCTCCATCAAGGCAAATTTCTCCCAATACTTGATCCAGGAATACCTATGTCTTCTGGATTGGGTTCAAAATTACAAGGCTACGGAGTTGAACATAACCTGAATTGCAGTAGTAAACCCTGAATTGGGTCGGTGTTCAGCGACGGTTATAAAATAAAATATGTCGGCCCTCTAACAATGTATAAAATGACCTCTATGGTCGAAGCGGTGTAATGGTGTGGGCAAGTATCATGGCAGGCGAGCATACCGATTTTCAAGTTTCCGATAGAGGAACTCTTGTAGGCCAGACGAGATCTATCTAACCTATGTGAGACTTTCCTACAGAGTATATGGAATGAATTTCATCTTTATGAACGATAACACCTATCCACACAGGTATCATTTGGTGAACGAATGTCTTCAATCGGAGGATATTTAATGATTGGAGGGGCTTGCGATGTCCATTGACCCTAATCTTATGGAAGATGTACGGGACGTCCTTGGACGTTAAAGATCAGCTCCTACGACTATCGATAAGCTCAAGGAGTGAGTGTGGTTTCCACAGGAAAGGGCCCTAGTGAACTACATGAAACGCTGATGCGAGAGTTGTGTAGCTGTTGAGGCAATCGTATACCCCATTAGACATGTTTTTCTCTGACTGAAAAGGTGTCGGTCAGCTGCAGTGCTGGACAGATGACAGTTTCCTTATTTAAGGTACAGATTATGCCCATTTTTGTTTTTCCACATATTGGTCTTATGTCGGATGATATTTTGGCTAGATTCAGTTTTATTTATTTTGTCAGTGGAGTTTGTTGAAATCAAGCAACTTATTAAAACTACTAAGATGTACTGGTTCTTATTTTGAGGAATAAACGTCTAGAATTAATCAAGTAACATAAAGAGATGATGATAAATGATTCGTAAAAACCATTTTTATGTTACAAACGAGTGCTTATTAACGTATTCTTTCAGACATACGTACAAACGTATTAATACAATCAGAAGTATAGATTGATAATTTGAAGTAGTAATTAATATAGAAGAAAATATAATAATAAATAGCTTTCTGTGCTTTTGTGTAGTTTAAGAGATGGAAAGGTGTCAACTCATACCTCAAAAACTAATATGGTCAGCATAAAAATATTGAAAAAAGAGAACATTTTTGAGATTCAAAATCCATAAGAATAAAATAAAGATTAAATAAAATTTTGTGGAAAACATAACAAAAATGACAGACAAACAGAGTTCGTTACAGACAAAGAAACTTTTGGTAAAACGCAATCGCAATTTGTTACAGCTAAAAATGCTATATTTCAATCGATAATCGGGTGAAAACAAAATAACTTTCAATGTTTCTTTTTCTAACGTAAATATATCAAAGTATTTCTTGAGAATACTCAAAATTAAATAGATGTAAATAGAAAGGTTAAGTAAACATTAAGCGTAGTTTTTAATAGATTAGAGATTTAATTTATTAATTCGCTGTTATATTTTGGTTTACAAGCCAATTTTTTATGCGTTTTTATTATTGCTTTGTTTATACGTTTAGACGCTTTTTTTACTTGTAGAAAGATACCTGCCATAAAAAAACCTTCAAAACATCATAAAGATATTCAAATTTTTAAAGAAATTTTTTAAAAAAAAATTTGACTTGAAAAACTCATACTATTTTTAAACATTCAAAGAAATAAAAAATTATTCAAAAGCTTCTGAAACATCAAAATGTAGAAATAAATTAACAAAAATAAAATAAGGTGTTACTCAAGATACAACTTCAAACAATACGGAGAATGGAAATGTAGAAAAAACTATCAGAATCTATATTATATAAAACGCTAATACGTACGTATGTATCAATAAAACCGATGATATTTCTTTTCTCGCGCTGGCAACAGTTTTCATTCTTAATTGAAAGGCTTCGGCGTGCAAGAGCACGTAGTGAGCATCATGGTGGTGGTACTTATTCCTCTTGGCCCAGAACAAGGCTAGACCAAGTCCAGGAGACCGTTCACCGACAGAAAACCAAACACCATCTGCGGATCCTCCAAAATAAAATTTTTCTCCAGTCCCATACAGGTCAGCAAATGATCANTTTGTTTCAGGTCCTATGAGTAAGCAAAAAAGCTCAAGTTGTTTTTACCGAAGCGCTTTGGTAATTATTTTGATAAAATTAACAACAAAATATCTTTTTATAATGTGTGATAAAATTTGGTAAATGGGGTAAAATTTCGTAATTTTATAATTACACCCTAAAGCATTGCATTAAAACTATTTATTCGGTTAAATGTACTTTTCAGTTTTGCATTTTTTAATGAATGTGTGATAACAAGTATTATAATTTTGAAAACCAGAGCTTCCGGCAAACCGTTACCATATGAACAGAACAATTACCAAATGAATGATTTAAGTACTGTATATTTTGGTTTTATTAAAAGAATTATGGGTTTTTTACCAGAAATTTCACTAACATACAGAACTGTGACTTAAATAGAATTTTTTTCTTCGTCAAATATCTGAACAAATTTTGAAATCTAGGCTTAAACTATGATTAAATAAGCTTATACCTCTATTCAAGTCAAAATCTTCGTGACGATTGAGGAAAACACTTATTTTTTATCTCTAAGGAAACTAAATAAGCCAATTTTAGTAACACCTTTTTAATATTTAAATATAAACTCCTAATTATTGGATTCTCCGATATAGGTCGCTCAATATTTCTTTGATATACTACGCTTTTTGACAGTTTTTTCAATATTCGTATATCTATTTGAAATAAATGTGGGTTATTAGATAAGAATTCGAATTGAAAATGCAACTGTGTTACAAGAATTTTTGAACAAATTGTAATAGAATAGTAAAAAATGAAATAGTTCTTAGATTTATATAAATGAAAGAATCAAGAATTGAAGAATTTTTTCGCTTAGGCTGTGATGATGAAAGGCTTTGCATTAAAAAAATTATCAAACTATGTTATTAAAGACATTTAGATAACGCGATATTTAATTACTTAATTACTGATATGTAAAATTGAATCAATAAAGAGAAAAATGTGATATTAAATGTCTTAGAATATGAAGCTAAATAAAGTTTTGAATTTGAGTGGGATTCGCAGATGTATCATTGCATCTCAGCATTGGTAATAATTTTAAAGGCTTATCTAATATCACCTGGTTAGAAAAACCTCTATTAATTTGTCACAAAGAGTTAATAGTACTTCAGTCAAAAAAATTACTCTTCACGGATTTCTTGCTGACATTGAATCCCTATTCAATTCAGTTTCAATATCTGATCCCCAACCAATGGCATTCTAAGTAACAATTAACTCCAAATTGGAAGCCCCTTTAACGGTGAGCATCAGATGATTCTTCATACGATCTTGAGATTCTTATTCTTTCACTTGAGAGTTATTCTTCAAGTAACTCCTGCGACTATTTTCGGAAAAGTAGTTTCCAAGTTTTCCCTTAAATAATGCAAACTTTTTCTAATAAAATATAAAAGTCTCCAAGGAAAGAAGTTTGCAATTAACCGTTTCAGTGCTGAAAAGTTTTCTTATATATGTGCGGAATGAAATGCGCAGTAATTTCTTCGCACAATAAAAATCACAATTGAGTAAAATGAATAAAAATTGTGATTGATATGAATTCAACTGCTCTCAATAGATGCGAAAATTATACTAACCAACAGCAGCGTCTCCGCATTTTTGGTAGTACAAAACATGCATTTTTGGCCCATAACAAGCGAAGCGCGATAGCGCTTCACTGCACTCAAACGGTTAAGGATAGAAGTTTCCATCAAGGGATAGAAACTTCTAATAGAAAATTTGAAATTAAGAACAGAAGTTCTAAACATGGGATAGAAGTTTCGAATAAAGGAAATAAATTATTAATTAAGGATAGAAGTTTTTAATATTGAATAGAAGTTTTCAATAAGTTAGGGAACGAAATTTTCCATTAAAACATGGAATTTTTCAATAAAAGAAAAAGTTTCGAATAAACGATAGAAGTTTTTAACAAAAGAAAAAGCTTTCAATGAAGGAAATAAAATTCCAATAAAGGAACGAAGTTAACAATTAAAAAGTTTTACTGAGGTATTACAACCCCTCGCATATTATGTACGATTTGCCGTTACGAATATATTACGTCTGTTGATCAACCTTTCTTGATCAAAACTCTATAATTTACTTGGTTACAGCTTGTGAGACGCATGTTGAACAGTAATCAAATTTTCTCCACTGTAAGTGATGATACTCAAATTTCAGCATTCTTTCTACTACCTGACACTTCTTTCAGACCTACATTGAAATACTTGCTTCTTGAGTTTCACAAGCAAAATCGATTTAAAATTAAAATCAATCGCATTCCCCAGATTTCTTAGTATTTCCTGAGAGTTTGATTTAAAATGCATTTTCAATTTTAGGTTTTGACCTCAATTTATATGAGCTCTAGAATGTGTGTAGCAACAATATATATAAATCTGAGCTGGAGCAATAAAATATAGCTTAGTATTAAAAATAAATAGCAATTTTTTAAGAAAAAAAGAATATTAAATTTTTAAAAAGCAAAAAATATTCAAAGGCAAAATTGCACGTTGCATCAACTTACATCACAAGAAGAATTAATTTCAATGTAATAATATGATTTTAAAACTTTCCTATAATAAAAGCCTTTACTGTAGTTTTAATCTCTGACTTCGGTAATAATTACCATTAAATTTTTAAATACTTGCTTTGAATGAATAAAATGAAATTTAAAAACTACCTGACAAATCCTACTGAAATAGTATGATCCACTACTTGGTTTTTGGCCAATTTTCTTTTTTCAAGCCACTTTTCTTTCGGGACTAAATACAAGTGAAGTTCAACCAACTGAAAAAAAAATTATTGAATAATATTAAATCCAACAAATGTAAGCATTGATTGCATATAAAAAGAGTATAATAAAAGTTATTTAAAACTTTACAAACGATTTATTTTCATATGGGTGACAGCTTAATAGTTTCAATATAAAGTCAAACTGTTAGAGATTTTGGAACAATTATGTTTCGATATAGGTTTGATATGATGGTTTAACATTCACCTCGCTTTTTTGAGAGTGTATTTCCTCCTAACCATTACCTTAAGATATTTAAAAACACTTAAATAATGTTGCCCTTAAATATCAAACTGATTTATATATAAAGTTTGGCAAAAATACTTGACTTCCTTGCGATGAAAAACATACATTTATTTTTGTGAGATACTTTTTTAATAATATTCATGCTGCTCCAGCAGCTATATTTATCATATGGTTAAATAAAAATATTGTTTGTGTTATAAGTGAAAATATTTCATAAAAATGACTTTTTTAGCAATTAAAATTTTGCACTTACTTTAATGAGCTACTTTACTTCCCAATGCTCATTCTGTTGCTGTTTTTATTTTAACCTAATGTTTATAATTAAATAAAAGTAATGAAAAGTATAAGAATGATTAAAAAATGTTTGAAAATAATTTTGAAATAAACAACATTTTGTACGATTAAAACTAGAAATTTATTTTAATAATTTTTGATTCCTGATGCTCATCGTGTTTGCAGTTGCTATTTTTATATTAGTAAGAAATAATTATTTTAATAGGAATTTTAAAATTAGATAATTATTAATACTCATTCCAATATTAGATAATGTTCGAAAAATCCAATTTTTTTGTCAGGTTAAAATTTTATACATTTGCATTAATAATTTACTTTGTTTACTAATATTCATTCTGTTACATCAGCTTATTTTTGTCAAATGGTTTAATAAAAATAATAACTATGGCATTAATAATGATGAAAAAATATTTGGAGAGAACAATTAAACGAATAACACTTTTAACGATTAAAATTATGCAATTGTTTTGATTATTTACTTTGATTTTAATTTAAATCACATTTGAAATTATGGCTGTAAAGATAATTACATCGAAAAGTTTTATTGCATATAAAATTTAAAATGAAAATATATCCTAATAAATCAAACAAATGAAAAGTATGCTGTATACTGAGTTGTATAAAAATAATTAATAATCTGTTGAAGAACCGTTTTTTTATTGACATTACGCCATCCTGTTTGATATACTTTGTATTCGATTACCTAAGCAATTAATACCTAACTTATTCCATGCATCAAAAATACAATTAACAAGTACATACATAGTTGAATATCGCATCCTATTTTTATAAATGTTTCTTGCGAGAAATCCTTAATTTTTTTCCCTATTTCTATTTTTTTACATTTGTATCAGAAGAATATGGTGACCAATTCAAAATATTTTTTTTTTGTTCACACTAACTTTTTAAAACCTTAGATGCGTGGGAAGATACTTAGTAGAATAAGAAGTTTAAACCTCCTAGAAGACAACCTTATGCTAACAGCTGCTACTTTAATACTTCCAAATACGATTGAGAGTTCATGTTTTTTAGTATCAATACTAAATCAGTTTTAGAACATGTTGAAATTCAACAGTAAAAAATTACAGAGCCTCTTTTAAAACAACAATTCTAACAGCGAGTGCTAAAACTGTCAGAACCGTCAAATTACAGCGTTTTTATCAGAAAAGTATGACGCACTTTTCCAATTTTTTCCAATTAATATTCTACTGCATCCATTACTGCTTAAACGTTGATCTGTTTTCTGTTGATTTTTATAGATATGGTGAAACTCATACGGCAGTTATTAAGAATTCTTAAAACTAAGAATTCTTAGATTTAGAAATATTTTTATGGTGCTCACTTCTAATTTGTCAAGAAGATATTTTTACAAGACAGTTATTCAAACTATGTTCATCATTTCCTTGAATGACGTTATCTTTTGATATTTCTTTCATTTTTTATTCCGAATGCATTTTCAATAGCACTTTATGATCTTTTTATATAGGTAGAAATATTTTGAACTTACTAACCTTTACTGCATCTAATCCATATTTTCTTATTTCAATTTTGTTTAACTTAATTCCAAGCGTCATTTTTAAAACTAAAGCGTGGGGGGGGGGAAATATTTTCTTCAAAATAAATGAAAACGATATTTTTCGAAAATGAAAGTTAAATCTTCTAAAAACTAAATAATATTTTGGAAACTTCAATAAGAAGTAATAGTATTTATAAAGTATAAAAGCAAAGTAATAAGTCTTTATGTAAAAATAAATGACAAATATTTTCAAAATAATTGATTAATTGGTTAGTATAAGAAATATTTTTTAAACATGTTATAGCAAACGATTGCGTAAATAAAAATCAATACAATGTTTAAACGTAGCATTATCGTTTGTTTAATAAAAACACAGCTGTCTTTCAATTTACGAACCGAAGCATATAAGAACAATTATTTGAATATTCAAATGATTAAATAAAAAAGCAGCTGTTATTCCTTACTAATAATTTTAATTTTACTTTATAATTATCATTTTCTTGAAAAATGGATTAGAAATTCGTTTAAAGGCAATATCCATTTGTCTTATAAGAATATATTAAAAAGAATTTTATGTCTTTGGTTCATTTAAAACGGAATTTGTTTTCAACCAATATGATAATCTAAAAAGCACTATAAAAAAGATGTTGTTTTTATTCCATAAATGCTTTTTAGTTTCATCAATCAAATAGTTTCAAAAATAATTTTTAATATCATGATTCCTAAAATTAATATACACTACCGGTCAAAAGTTTGCGAAAATTTTGAAATCTACAAAAAAAGGTCTAAGTTCAAATGTTCATAGAACTGCGAAAAATCGTTCAAATTTCATGAAAATTTGGTATGTTCTAAAGTGAATCCTTTACAGTTAGTTACATATGATCAAATTGCAATACTTTGCTTTTTGTGAACTGAATCCAGCTTTTCATCATGGGTTGTTTTTATGGTGAAAAAAGTTGTTAAGTTTGAACACTTGCCAAGCTTGCAAAAAAACAAATTTTGTACTTTCTGTTAATAGAAAATAGTTATTTGAGCCGTTCTATGTAAGCCCTCAAAATTTCAGATCGATTTGATTTTTTTTGACGAAGTTATAGAATTTTGAAAAACATGTGTATTTTTCTCGATTTTTGAGCATTCCACATATGCGGTCTTTTGGTCTATACATCTTCTACCAAAGAACTTTTTAATTTTAATGCTTTCTATATTTTCAAATAATTAATATTGATTATAAAACAAATATTCTTATTCATTATTGTAATTATTGTTATTACAAAGAATTTATTATGAATATAATTAAAACAATATCTCATAGATGTCACATTTCATCTAAAATTTGTTTGTTCTTGCAAACGATGCTCTGATATTTGAATCGAAGTCAGTTATGGGACATTTTACAACAGGAATGGAACTCTATATCACTTGAAGTGATTAATGGTTTATTAGAACGAATGCTATGCATATGTAAGGCTATAATAAAAGCAAAAGGTGGATGGTTCGAGGAATCTAAGATTTAAATGTTAATTTATTTAATTACAAAATACGAATAAGAATATGTTAAATATTTGACCTGTTGTAAATAAAATAGTTTAATAAAAATGCAAATTTTTTATACTATTGTTATTATTTTTTTAGAATTATTTATGTAATTATTGTTATAACTTTTTAATTTAATTTAATATAAAGTAAAAATATCACAACAAAACTAATACAGGTAAGCAATAAATATAAACAATAAATATAAACAATAATAATTACAATAATGAATAAGAGTATTTGTTTTATAATAAATATTAATTATTTGAAAATATAGAAAACATTAAAATTAAAAAGCTCTTTGGTAGAAGATGTTTAGACCAAAAGACCGTATATGTGGAATGCTCAAAAATCGAGAAAAGTACACGTTTTTCAAAATTCTATAACTTCGTCAAAAAAAATCGAATCAATCTGAAATTTTGAGGGCTTACATATAACGGTTCAAATAACTATTTTCTATTAACAGAAAGTACGGAAATTTTTTTTGCAAGTTTGGCAAGCGTTCAAACTTTCGAAATTTTCTCACCATAAAAACATTCCGTGATGAAAAGCTGAATTCAGTTCGCAAAAAACAAAGTATTGTAATTTGATCATATGTAACTAACTGTAGAGGGTTCACTTTAGAACATATCAAATTCTCATGAAATTTGAATGATTTTTCGCAGTTCTATGAACATTTGAATTTAGACCTTTTCTTTGAAGATTTCAAAATTTTCGCAAACTTTTGACCGGTAGTGTAACCTAAAATTAATAAAAATAATAAGTAATAAAATAATAAAAATTCCTAAAAATAATAAAATTAATTTTACCGCACTTACGGAGTAAAATGTATTAACTGTGCACTTAAAACAATGTTACAATCAAAGATGATTTTTGTTTCCATCAGTAATTTTCCTTTTGAATAATTTCAATAATATGAAATTATAAATCTGAATTGTACAGTACAAAATTATAATTACGGAATTATCGAATTTTAGTTGTCCCAAAACTTGTACAATTTGGAATTTCGTGACAATATCTTTTACAAAATTTTCAGAAAACTGTAGGAACTTATTGATTTTGCTCAACGCAGTATTTTCTTTTCTATTTAGAAATCCTCAACAGCCTCATGCTTTATTTTAAAAAGTTGCATTTTTTTATATTTCAAAAAAAATTAGCATTGATAAGCAAAATTATACTAATATTACCTGAATTTAATTAATTAATATTCCCTGAACTTATTTAATTTAGTCACTTCATTTGACTTAGCTCTTTAGTGTGGGTTATTTCTTGGCAACATAGAATAATAATTTTTTTTGTTCCGGAAGGAATAATTCTAAACAATGATTTGAATCTTTTGCCATTGGAAAAACTGTGGAATAATTCAAAGTAGCTTATTATATAGTAACCAACAAATAATGAGTAAAC